AGTGATTTCATTTTAAAAGGGGTAACGCTATTCTGAAATTACTTCAATTGTACATTGCATTGAAGAAATAACAAAACATACTGTAGATAATGTAAGGTAGGTTTCTCACTATTGAAGAAACAAATCACAAATAAGCCAAGAGGGAAGAATAAAATTAATACTATGATGATGGATTTGAATCTGTATCAGTATGAACTCATGATTTTTAATAAAGATATATACCATCAAGAGTATTCTGCATGCTATTAATATATATATTTAAGATAAATAAATGGATAGAGACAGAAATAAATATAGATGTGTGCTTATGTGTCTGCGTGTGTGCGTGAGTAAACGGACACATAGCTCCTCTCAGCTCTAGGCCTAGAAGCAATAAAACCCCGTTAGCAATGAATGCACTTAATATCAAGAGAAAACTAGAATTCTCTGAGGAAATGGTTGATTACAGGCTTGGGTAAGGCAAATACAAAACAAACCTAAAACACCTTGTGATACCAGAAAAAAAAGTTGTCAAAACATTATGGGGCTATATTAAAAGAACACAGGGGTCTACCTTAAAGCAGCTCCCAATGATCAAACCCAGAAAAAAATGGAAAATTAAAAATAAACAATGATTGCAAAATGTAACAACTCATAAAATAAGATATCCACAAATCCATACTGATGTAAAGTAACAACCGAGTACAAATAAATGGAGAAGGAGAACAGTTCTTCCTTACAGTCAAATTCCAATGAGTAAGTAGAGAAAGTATCATGGAAATAGAAACCATCACTAGTTAAACACCATAATCAAAATTGCTGTAGGCAAGAATCTTCAATTAATGCTGAAATTAGATGAAATAAAATATTTGCATAGTCTCAAAGTATCTCCTCATAAAATATTAATTACAAAGAAAAGCCGGGCGCGGTGGCTCAAGCCTGTAATCCCAGCACTTTGGGAGGCCGAGGCGGGTGGATCACGAGGTCAAGAGATCGAGACCATCCTGGTCAACACGGTGAAACCCCGTCTCT